TAGATCTCAATCAATATAACTTGAAAATAATATGGTCTTTCAATACATTTAAAAATTCTAAAATCAGACTTTCTATATATTCATTATTAAATTAAAAAAGTGGGAAAGTGTCTAAAGCTCTGCTGTACATTAGTTGTCTAGTGAAATAACAGTAATAGATTTGCTAAATTTGAATTAAATGATATCAAACCATTGTATACGAAAAACGATTTTGAGCGAAGACGGCCAGCCAGCCTAAGAAAAATTACTAAGAAAAGTTATGATATTATTGAACTACAAAAGTTTCATATACACATGGCTAATATTTTTGAATTACAACAAACCAACCAAAATTGTTTTTCTTCGTTTAGATACCTTATAATTTCGTCCAAATTTGAACTTAAAAAGTCTAAAAAAACTATATATTTTTAGATTTTTTGGTTACAGTTTAAACTACTTACGTAGAAGGTAGAACCTTTTTTAAAATTTTCAATTCTCAGCAAAAGTCCATTCAAATTTAAAATGTAATACTTATACTTTTAACTACATAATAATTTTCAATTTTTCAATTTTTCAGTTTAATAAATTCGTATTTTAGTCGCTTGTCAAAATAAACAGTGCCTATTATTTTTAATATTTTTAAACTACTATTGTAACAATGTGTGAGGAGTCTTGTTTTGAATTTTCAAACTTTTTGACCCAACAAATACAATTTTTTTGATAACTAAGAGAAAAACGTGTCAAAATATTTTGAAAATTTTATCAAATATGGAAAATGATAATAAACATTTAATGTGAATTGTATGTACCCAAGGTTATTCGTATTTGAATTACAACAAAATAAGAAAATCGGTCCATCAGAAATAAAGTGAATATCCAATGTCATAAAAATTTGAACTTCAAACACTCATAAAAAAGTAATTTGACTTTCCGGTTTACATATTTTTTTTTTTATGTAGAAAAATGTATAAAAATCTTTTATTACATTTTCAAATCTTAGATATAACAGACAATTTTATATGAATTTCCAGCTCAAAATATTTTGCAAGTGTTTGTGATTATGACGAATGTTGTCAAAATTCAAACTTCATACGCTCATAGAAAATTATTGTGAATTTACGCTCAACTGTTTTTTTAATTTTTACTATCAAAAACGTATGAGAAACCTCGTATTAATTGTTTTATTTTTTCCTAGGTTTATGAGAAGAATATTTCAAATACAAAATATTTATGAATGGAACCAATACTTTTTAATACCACAATAACAATTTTATATCTACTCTTCTGTAATTGGTTAATGATATACATTCTTAAACTAGTTAAACTATTCTCAATTGGATTGACATTTTAGATATACTTCTCCAAAATATAGTGATAATTTAATTTTGATGTAAATAGTTTAATTAAAGCAGATTGTTAAATTATAAAATAACGGATTTCATACATTAACGGTAATATCGTATATTATGCAACTAATTTCTATAATTAATAATAAAGAATAATATAAATTAATATAATACTCATTGCATTAGTGATTGAATCACTGAAATACATTCTGACTAAAGTGTCTGGATAAAAATCCCATGAACGTGTTATACAAACATTTAAAAGATCGTCCAAGAATTGACGATCAATCTGAATTTTTTTTTGTTTCCATAAATAGGTTCATAAAAACTAACTTAGAATAAGTTTCTCTAAACAAAGAGTTTGTCTAGTGCTGTGATACTATTTATCTCACAAAAAAAAAATATATTTTTAAATGTTATAACATAATAGCAGCGAAAAGTACCATAGTGTCAAAATTGTCAAACCTACGGCCACACTCGAACACACTGTGCATGTCCTCCCATGTGTGTCTAATGTGGGGTAAATCACCCATCCATCTCCTGCGTTAAATCACCAGATCTCCCAGAAAAATACTTCCTGAGGAAGCCGCTTCCTCTGCGAAGGAGCAAACCCCACCAATTACAAAGGACGTACAATTATAAACAAACAACTAAGCCGCTAACAAAATAACATCTCAAACCAAAAACGTCAACAACCACCGCCATCCAACTCCACCGCCGATCCCGATCAACATCATCAATTACCAACCATTGAAAACCAGACAGTGTAACTTTGGGTCACCAATCGTTCAAATCAAAATATTCTAATCATATAAACAACAATGAAATACCAAGGTGAGGTCTTACTGAACACAATAAAAATAATAATTTTCTAATAAGTTGTTGAAAATCTGTAAATTTTTCCCGATTTGATGACAACGATTAGCGGAACACATGCCTACAGTTATCCTCCCACCAAAATCTGGACGTTTATAGTCAATGGTCACATTAAAGTATTATTCGGCGTGCAGAGTCGATTCTTTTCTTATGAGTTCTGAACATGTTTTTAAGGATTTAGTAAAAATCAAACTGCCGATTGGGTCAATTGTGTATTCGGTGCCAGCGTTAATAATAGATTCGGTCGTATTGCCAATATTGTACAAATGTAGGTACGTGACGCTGGCACCCGCAAATTCGCAAATTCACCCAAATTTGTGGCAATCAATGTTATATCATTTGTACAGGTTTGTAACCACAAAAATTTCATTTGTACACCCCTCTAACCCCCGGAAAATCAAATTCCTAGGTGCGGGTGCCAGCGTCACGCTATTCCAGCACCCGCTTTTAGTAATATTTGAGCTATCGACTCAAAAATAGTTGCAAACAATGTTATATCATTTGTACATGTTTGTAACCACAAAAATTTCATTTGTACACCACCCCTAACCCCCGGAAAATCAAATTCCTAGGTGCGGGTGCCAGCGTCACGCTATTCCAGCACCCGCTTTTAGTAATATTTGAGCTATCGACTCAAAAATAGTTGCAAACAATGTTATATCATTTGTACAGGTTTGTAACCACAAAAATTTCATTTGTACACCACCCCTAACCCCCGGAAAATCAAATTCCTAGGTGCGGGTGCCAGCGTCACGCTATTCCAGCACCCGCTTTTATTAATATTTGATCTATCGACTCAAAAATAGTTGCAGACTCAAGTAGTTTAAGATTTTAGTTAGTATTTTTTTTTTAATACCAGTTATTGTATTTAATTTAAAAAATGAATCTTAATATTTTAAATTCTGTTTCTTTATGTGGGTAATTATTTAATAATATTCGTCTGTCAATCCAATTTAATATTATTCATATTAGTTTAATCTTGTCGTGTTTGCTTTACAGAGTTATGTCTATACCTATATATTTCATGTCTAGTTTAATAAATTAAGGATGGATTTAGGTGGATCCGTGTCCTTTCTCCAAATTAAAATTTGCAAATATTCTTAATTTGGATGAATTTTGTCAATATTTGAATTTAACACGCTTATAAAAAAATTGTGCCAATTTATTATTATAATTTTTGAATCCTTTTTAGATTAACTTATTTAAAACCTTCTATTAATTTTTCAAGTATTTTGATTTACACAAACATGTTTTATTGACATTTATAAGACTACAAACCAAAAATAAATAAATAGCTGAAAAATTAACGAAATAATTTGAATAAAAAATTACAAAATATATAAAATATTAGTAATTAAACAAAAATAAAAAAATACATTTGATTTATTTTACGTTTTATTATTACAATTTGTTGTCGAAGATCTTTCTGATATCCTGTATTCCTGCAGATGCTGAACAACTTTGTAACATTCTGACCATAAAAATGCTGGCATTTATTTAAATAAGTCTGATTGACAATTTTACGTATACTTCATAAATATGTAACAACAGTTTTTTAATTTGATGTACAAAATTAACAGAAAATTAATTCGTTTAATAGAATTTTTTTTTTTGTTACACATAGAAACGATTTTAAATGAAAAATTTATGATTCCATAAAACATTTCGTTATAATATAGAGTTTCATCAATTAGGAGTTTGTTAAAGAGAGGTAGTTACTAGTTACGTGCCTACGACTATATTTGAGCCCTCAATAAGCCATGTGGTAGTACAATTATACCTACCATTTACTTTTATTAAACATTTACTCATTCTTAACTTCATGATATAAAACGTAGAAATAATAAAAATCTATTGCTAAAATCTAAACTAGTAAACCATAAGAAAATACTTGGTACCTAATATACAAAGACATTTCTGAAAAAAAAATAAGAAAAATAGAAAATTTAATTTGCCTATAAATACTAAATAGGTCAAAAAAATTCTAAATCTTTCAAATTTTACCATGTATAGATGGTACCAATATAAACATTTGCTGAAAATTTAGAGTATCTATAATTTTTAATTTTTGAGAAACAGCCAAATCAAAAAATCGATTTTGTCAAAAACTAGTTTTGAGTACAAATTTTTTTTTTGTTTTTCACGGCACATTTGAAAACTACCGGAAATTTTACCTCTATAATTCATCAAGGATCTCCACTTTGCTACCCGAAACCACCCCTGAAGTTTTTTATTGAATCATTGTTTTGAAAAGTTATCGTGTACACGGACACAAAAAATAAATAAAAATACATAAAAAAGTTACATCATTGTAAAATCAATACATACATTACTTCATACAGAATCTAAAAAAAAGATTGCCACCACTTCAGGCTTAATATAATGCATAATGTAAATATTCAAAAAAAATATAATACAGCATATTAATTTTAGTTTTTATGTGTCTCTTGATATAGCAGAGTTTAAAAAAAAATTAATTAATAAATATAAAATATTAGGTTTTTTTAAATTTAATTTATGAATTTAACTTAACCTTATTTAAAAATATCATATAGTAAAAATATATGTTATGAAGTAATGTAACTATATAGACTAATAAAATAAATAAATATTAATAATATCACAGATTCAAAATTACTCTGACTTTATTTTTACTCTTCTCGAGAATTTATTAAGAAACTAAAAATAAGAAAATAATTTTACCATAGTATTTTTAGAACAAATGGTTAGGTTATTAATTATTACTTATTATAAATACATATAATACTCTAATTGTTCTTAATGTTCTTATTTGAATTATTAAACCGTATAAAATAAAAGTTCGACATCAGTTTTGTAAGATGAGACTTGATGAATAACTTTGGATCTTAAATCATCATAGATCTCCCATTTTTGATTGCCTCTATAGGTGCCAGCTGTATAGTGTCCAGTGGCGCTCCTCAGTCCACATCTGCCTCCTCCATGAAATATTATGACTCCTCTTAAATAATAATTTTTACTATTGGTGGTTATCATTTTTGGGATATTATCTAATTTCCAATTATTTGGTTTAACAAAGTTTTGTTTCACTAATTCTACTGGTACTTCATCTATATTTGTGAAACTTGTTGATGCTTCTAAATCTGGGAAAATAATTTAGCAGTTAACTATCAACCCCTAAAATCTTTAAAAATGTATTTTCAATTATTTGGATTATACTTACCAAATGGAATTGAATTCAGTTCAATAATCATATGTGTAGTAGCTTCCATCGATGTCTTCCTCTTTTCACCACAATATGAGCAAGTTTCGTCTGAACTTTCAAATAATTTTTCGAGCTCATTTTGAATAACTATTTGGCCATTGAATATGTTCAGTGATATGTGTGTCTTTTTTACTTCTAGTATAGGAGTGGTACATAAATTGTTGTCACAGAAACTACTTTCAATGAAAGATGGCATTTTTTGCATTATCTTGTTCACCATTGATGCAGCAGTAATTGTAGTATCTACTGATTTAAGTCCACCAACTAACAGTTCTATTTTACTACCAAAATGTTCCAATATTAATAACAGTCTATTATGATAAATTTGTGTTTTGTTTTTGTCTTCGATCATTTGCATGGATATTCTTGCTGTCATGTTTGATGTTGCCATTTCAGATAAATACACTTTAAAATTACTACTATCGGCAGCTGATGTCGCTAAAATAGATAGAACTGAATCTACAGAACAAGTATTATTCAGAACTACTTTTCCTACGCTTGGTACCATTATCGGTTTGTTGATTAGACTATTTCCATTTTTCAATAATACTACTGGAGTTATGTTTCCCCGCTTATTTAGGTCTAAAAACTCAAATCCTGGTTGGAGATTAAGGTATGATCGTGAACTTCGTTTTTTCTTTTCCGGGGGTTAGGGGTGGTGTACAAATGAAATTTTTGTGGTTACAAACCTGTACAAATGATATAACATTGTTTGCAACTATTTTTGAGTCGATAGCTCAAATATTACTAAAAGCGGGTGCTGGAATAGCGTGACGCTGGCACCCGCACCTAGGAATTTGATTTTCCGGGGGTTAGGGGTGGTGTACAAATGAAATTTTTGTGGTTACAAACCTGTACAAATGATATAACATTGTTTGCAACTATTTTTGAGTCGATAGCTCAAATATTACTAAAAGCGGGTGCTGGAATAGCGTGACGCTGGCACCCGCACCTAGGAATTTGATTTTCCGGGGGTTAGGGGTGGTGTACAAATGAAATTTTTGTAGTTACAAACCTGTACAAATGATATAACATTGTTTGCAACTATTTTTGAGTCGATAGCTCAAATATTACTAAAAGCGGGTGCTGGAATAGCGTGACGCTGGCACCCGCACCTAGGAATTTGATTTTCCGGGGGTTAGAGGGGTGTACAAATGAAATTTTTGTGGTTACAAACCTGTACAAATGATATAACATTGATTGCCACAAATTTGGGTGAATTTGCGAATTTGCGGGTGCCAGCGTCACGTACCTTACAAATGTCCAATTTTCTTTGAAAAATTATTTACAACTAAAAAAAAACTACATGACGATCTAATAAGACATGTGTCCAGAGCTGATCCTTTACAAAAATATTCATTTCAGTTTTGTACGATAAATTACGTATATATAGACGTACGTATTGTTATATATCCGTTCTTTTATATTATTATTATGTGCGCGTTGAATATATTATTTTATAAAAAAGAAAGTACAAGTACATTAAATCATATTACAAAGAGCTCGAATCAATATTATCATATTTACCGAATTTCAAACGGTTTCGAGTGTTATGCCTTTTTTTTAGTTTAAACTATGTACCTTTGTGATTTCATATTTGGGAGATGAAAACGACGTTTCTCTTGCAAACAATAAAACATAATATGCTTATGAAATATATATACTTTATAAGAAAAGTAATAATAATAATGAAAATAATAATAACATTAATAATAACATAATATTGTACCTACCTACATCTCGTGTTCTAGTGTGAGGATTATCTAAGATTATAATTTATAATATATTATTATGTTCGGTGAATGTGTGTATTTTTGGGCTGATGCAACCGTGTTCGGATTACCGGAAAGTGAGGGTTTCGGTTTACCTGGGGCTCTAGTTATCACAGCAGCACTGCAATAATAATAATATAATATATTCCATCCTTCTTTAATTCAACGTGGGATCTACCGAAATCGAACCGAACTATAATTACTGTGACATGGCAATAATTAATGCTCGTTAGTGGCATTCATAAAATATCGTATGCCAAAAAAAGTGTGGCGTGTTAAAAATATATATTACCTACCTGTAGTACAAGAGACTTAATACAATATATATTATTATAATATAGGAAGCATACTTTTATTTATATGAAGCTAATTTTATAAAAACACATTTAGATTCAAAAAACAGCTTTATCCCTATGAAATGCGTAACTCGTTGTAGATATACTGTAATAGTTTCATTTGATCCTCATAATTTATATCGATCAAACATTATGAACACCGAAAATTGACGGAATATTAACTAGGTAGCTTTTTAATTTAATTTATATTCTCCATGTTAGTATTGCAATGTTTGATTATTATACAAAAGTGCTATTATTTTTTTTTTGTAATGCATATAGCTTAAAGAAAGTTCCAACAAATATGGCATATCTCATATACTAAATATCTTAATATTTTCTGCTGTGAATACATTTGTTTAATTTTGATGTTTGACTCATAAATAACGTTTTCGTAGAATTTAGACTAAATAAATTATTCAATTACTACGTTTTAGTAATTAGTTGCATTCTCATTTAGTATAAAATACAACTAACTGCGTATTACCCGGTGTTGCAGGTTTTTAATACCCTCAAATATTTTTAAAAGGAGGGGGGGGTAAAGTTAACCTAGTATATTTTTATCTAAAATATATATAAATATATAAAAATGGATCCCTATTTCATCGCATCACGTGTGAAAGGCTGGACCGATTTCTCTCATTTTTTTTTTTGTTGTGTTTGTAATTGTCAGGAGAAAGTTCTTATAAAATACAATTTTAGGAAAATACGCCGAGAAGGTAGACAATTTGGATGTCAAAAAATACAACAATGGCGCCATCTGTCCAGAAAAAAATAAACTAAATAATAAAAAATTTAGTTGCGGATTAAAATAATAATAGTGCATTGTATATAATTGCTTGTTATTGGTTATCTTTGCTGATTTGTGTTATTATTTTTGTCAATATATAAATATCTTATACCTATCTAAATGTGAAATGAAAATCTTTGCACAGGGTAAACTCTGAAACTACTTATCAGATCTTCTTGATTTTTTTTTAAACGAAATAGTATTTCACGGAGAAGGTTTGTATGAAAGAACATTTTAGGAAATCTACCGGAAAGTAGGAAATCTTTATGTTAAAAATACAACAGTGAAAACAGGTTAAGTTAGGATTTTGTATTAATTGATTATATTAATGCACCATAGGTAGAATACGACAAACTTGATATAACTTTGATACTTAAGTCATACACTTACGTACAGACAGCACGGGGTCCGCGATCTATCGCAGGTAGATTGCCTACCAGATAATATACTGCTGCGAAACAGAATTTTAATTTCGGCAACGGAAAAGTTAAGATTAATTTTAAGCACCATATACACAGAATAATAAATAATGAATTGAACAAAGTTTGAGTCATATAGAATTGGTACATTTAACGGGCAACGAATTGCACGGGTACAGCTAGTATATATATATATATTATATATATGTATAAACGAATGTTTGTCTGTCTATGTGTACTGGTTGCCATTGGTTAATCGTGCAGATCAGGTGCAAGCATGCATCAAATCGAATATTTGCACATTGCCTACCAAGGTGGCTGAGTTGCACTTAAAGTCGCTCATCTACTATGTCCGCGAACCGACGTAGTCGGATTGCCTACTAGGATGGCTGAGTTGCACTTACTGCACCAAGTTACAAAAAAAGTTGAACAATTAAAATTTTTTTAAGAGTTGTCATTTTTTACCGACAATAAAGTGGGCGGGATCACCATTTAAAAAAACGTAAAATAGAATCTTTGTTACGGGCTGGCTCTGAAACGGCTTGACTGATTTGGCTGAATATATTTTTGTTGGATTCACAATTGTAAGGGTATAGCTAATATGTAAGAAAATTATTGAAAAGAACCTTCTCATCAAAAATCGAGGACAAAATATCAACTACCAGGAAGATTGAAGCGTCTCGCAGCTAGGACTCCTGCAGTACTAATCTCCTTTCTATACACAAACGATATACCCCTTACTGACAAAGCGAAAATCTCTCTCTTCGCAGATAATATTATATTGATTCACACTAAAAACAAAAACTCGAAACATGCAGTGATCCATTATAGGAGTAAACCGATTTTGAATCCGAAGTGTTCAGAAAATGGCCCTACAATAAACCCTTTAAAAACGATAGTGGGTAACGAGTATGTTTGGTTGAACCAAATTATCACGAATCCCGAAACTAAAAATCGATGGGACTGCAATTGGATGGTCAAACAAAACTAAATATAGTAAATAAATAATAAAAACCCATAGGCATCACCATCAGCCGTAGGCCAAGTGGATCTAGTAGGCGAAACCATATCCCAACATCGAGCAACGCACCACGAAAACAAGAGATATGCTCTACCCAGTGATCAACAAAAACAGTCAAATACCTCATCATACCCGATTAACAATTGTTGCGCCCGGGATCCTTGACTTCAGATATCACCTGGCACGTGGTCCTGAACACTGTTGTGGGGTGGGAAATTGTTCATAAATAATAACAATGATGGTTCAAACTAATAGGCCCATGTGTTATTGTACAACATGAACAATATAAGACATTATACAATATTAAGTACAAAATCAGGGGGGAAGAGGACCACCAACTGAACTGCCTTCCTGGAAGTTGACTTGAGCTGACGGACTGGAAGTTGCTGAGCTGCTGGAGCACAGGGACGAACAATGCCACCGTAGAAAGTACGAACGTTCAACTGCTTACACGTGGACGTGACTTATAAGTTTGAGTAAAGCTACTCGGCACTTGTTATTACGAGCGAATGATCTTAATGTTGAACCACAAACTGGACAACGACAGTCAACAAATGGTTAACAAAAGTGAACGGCTAATCGGCCGAACAACGAGTGAAACCACGTTTTGTATAGCACTTACAAACGGGAAAAAATGGCCGACGAGCAGAAGGCACGAGCGAGAAAAATAGGTATCGTGGAGACGGACACACGAAAAACAGGAGAGTAAACGCCATTTTAACACCAATCGAACTGATTATAGCGAAGAGAGCGAACTTGTATCTTCCACGGAACAATGGTGGACGACCGTGGACGGGGCCGTTGAGCATAGCGACAAGAGGTCAAGCACCAAACGTGGTTTGAGCATAACGGTACGGACGAGCTAGACTTGTACACACACGACGAACGGGAGAGTGACGCGGGCGGTCGGCCGAGCGCGACCACCGACTGCGGCAATTCTGTTTTCAAACGGATCGAACAACAATTTATTTTGAAAATGTAGGTACTTAACACCCATGCTTACTTACGCCTGCGCAGCATTGGTCAGCTACGTCCCAAAATTTCAATAATGACAAATCGAATCAGTTCAAAAAATTGCAATACAAACAACGACTGTAATGCCCATATTTCTTAGAAATTATGTTCTGCTTAAAGAGATAAACACAACTACAATCAAAGAAAATATCAAAAA